CTCTGAGTACTCTTGTGTAGTTTAGTATATATAAGTATATAAGATCAGACTAGTCCTGTAGTCTGGATCTTGTCTACTCTAGGTAGTCCTGTACTCTCAGGCTTACTCTATATACTTTACCTTGTCTCACTCTCTCTCTTTGCCTGTTCTGTAAGTTCTGACTATGTTCTAGTACTTGTATTCTGTATTTCTGTTGTGTAGGATAGTTATAGTCTGAGTCCCCTTACTGAGCCTTTGGGTCCCCTCTATACTGTTACTAACATTAGATCCAGACTCCCTATTACCACCCTACAACTCTCCTATGTTTTAAGCATCAGTACTTACTATTGTGTTGATCTCTTCTCTTTGTCCTAACCCTTTTACATTTTTAAATTTTAAACTTTCTAAACCCTTTTAAACTTTTGCCACCCTTCTTCTATTTATTACCCCTTTTAGTTTAGTACTGATTCCTTTATAGTATAAACATAAACCCTTCTATACTGACTGCCACCCCTACTGTCCTGCCAGATCAGTAGTTACAAGCAGATCTAGCTTAATACATGTAGACCTCTATCTAAGAGGCCTTTGCCAACTATGTGCCCCCAGCCCCTTCAGAACCTGTTCTAATTGTTCTGAAAGTTACAAACTGTTCTAGAAAGAAAGTGTATGTAGCCTACCCTTTAGACTTTAATAGGTAGCACTTTGAGGACTTCTAGTACTAAGTCAAACTATATGTGGCTACTATTTTGACTGATCTATCCTCAGATCTCAATTGTGTCCTATTTGTCCTCTCCTTTATAAAGGAAGGTAATACAGCCACCTAGGTTCAGAACTAGATTGAAAGCTATTAGATTGGAAGTCTGATCCAACTTTAGAACAATGAGTTGTATTTGGAATTTATAGAATAGCTCTGTACTTCCTTCATTAATCTGAATAAGAAGTACAATGTGTAGAACAAGCTTGTATCTCTGTAACAGAGCAAATGTTCTACTAATACCTTCTTTCAGGAGTTTAATATCCTGGCCTAGAAGGTAGGATTTACACTTAGGTTTAATAATGTTCTTATTAGAATGCTTGAAAAAGCCCTTTACTCAGAACTGGTTAATAAGATCCTTAGAATAATACTAGAACTGGTTACTTACACTAAGTAGAAGATACACACCATTTTCTTCAACCAAGCTGTAGCTTGGATGTGTCAAGTCTGTACAGAATACTTACACATACATTTAGCTCTGACAGTTCTAAGCCCTCAGATCAATCTGTCTGTAATTTGTAATCAATCTGTTCTGATGAATATTAGAGAAGCTTAAAAGTAAGGAGTATACTTTGTCTACAGAAAGTCAGGGCACTAAATTAAGGACTGTCTATAGAAGTAACAGTATATTCATTAGGTCATTAGAGTAATAATGAGTAATAAGTAGGATTTGTAGTAAGAAGCCTTTTCTACAAATCTAGAAGTCACTTTAGAACTCTTAGACTCTAACTATGTACTCTAGGATTTTGTAAAGGCCTAATAGTGAATGTGGTACTGAAGAGCTATGACTCAGATTTTTTAATAGCTACTTTTGATTCAATAGACACTGTAGGATTAGAAGTAAATAAAGTAGAAAAAGCAGAAAAAATAAATTAACAAAATTATTTATTAGAAAGAAAAAAGCTGAAAACAAAAGTAGATAGTTCTCCTATTTCTTCTGATTCTTTTGATTCTTCTCTTTACACTTCATCCAAGTCTAAATCTGTACAATCTGACTTACTACTTCTGTGTTCTAAGATTTTAGAACATTCAGAACACTACTTAGCCCTATTCACTACTTAGTAGTTTGTCTGTAGTATTAAGTAGGGATGGCCTTAGCTGAGTTTACAGCTAAGAACATAAGTCTGTCCTTGTTGAAAGAGAGAGGTTAATAAGGAAATGTTAGTGTATATACTTACCCTCTTAAACAATAAGGTTGTACAAGCTGTATGTTCCCTTTAGAACAAGTAGTAGTTCATCTGAGAATGTTCTAAGTACTAGCTCTAAGTCCCTGTCCTCTTAGCTCCCTTCTTAGAATCCCTCCAGATCTGAACAATAGCTCTAGTAGACAGTAGATACACTAGTTTGTGTATTAATAAGGCCTTTGTGTAGGAACACTACCTCCCTACTTAATGTGTTCTACTTCTAATTCTAGTATACAATGTGGACAGAACCCTAAACTGGAATAGTTAAATCACCAAGTTTGTTCAACTACAGATGACTATTTAGGATTATGAGGAAAGTATTAAGTTCAGAGTTACTAACCTTAGAAAGACAGATGTCTTTATTAGATTCAAATGGCTTAAGACTCACAACCCTACTATTAACTAGTTAGAGTAGACACTTGTATTTGATTAGTGTTCTGAGTCTTACAACTACCTTATACTACTGTTCTAAGTGGATGTAAACACTTCTAATGTTACTAACAGTTCTAATGAAGGTGACTGGTTGTTCTTCTTTGACTAGGATAGATATGTAGATACATATTCTAGTCAAGGCAGAACAGAGTCAATCTGAAGGATATCTAAGACAGAACCAGTCTAGAACCCTCTTAGAATGACTCTACTCTAGAATGTATGTAGACCCAGCCTGCTAGATTTTGTCCAAGAGTTCCCTAAAGTCTTTAGTAAAGAGGAATTCAACCAGCTTTCTGAATACTGTCTCTAAGACTATACAATTGAATTAACTAAGAGTTTCCAACCTAAGGATTGTAAGGTCTACCTACTGTCACACTCATACAACATGTATGTTCTAATACATTCTGATCAGAAGGGCTCAGTTGTATCAAAGTTGTATCATCCTCATATTAGTAATCCTTTAATTATGTCATCATTGCCTACACAATAGTCTTAGTTACTCAATTCAGACTAGTTGGGTTCTAGACTCTAGTTCTGATTCACAAAGGCAAGACTCTGAGCCTTCAGACAGCTGGTTG